AAAAAAAAAAAAAAAATCTGTGATGCACATGCGCATTGTCCTCAAATAATAGAAAGAAGTTCAGCCTGAAATGTGATGGGCTAACCATGCTAACCATAGGTTAGCTCATCGTTGTCATGACCACTGCTCTAAGTACTGAACCAATTTCAGTCAGCAGATTAAATTCTTATTCCTTGTACCTTTGCACATTATTACGCAATAATTAATAGATTCTTTAGTGTGTATGGATTACTTGGGTTGTTACTGATACCTCTTGTGAATGTTATGCCGATGAACCCTCTGTGATCATCAATACAGTACTGAGAAAAATATGTTCAGTTGCCTGTAGTGTATTCTAGAACTCATGGTGGCAGCTTGTTGATGTAACTCTATTACATCAGTTCTGATTTCTTCTAAATTCAACTTTTGTTCATATTTTTTGGACAAGTTGTGCAATTGGAAGGATTTACGCTTTTACTTTTTGTCTTTTGAATGGCTGATACGACATGCAACTATGGAAACAAGTTATTGTTTGTACAATTGGGAGCAGCTGATTAGTATTTGAAAGTTCAAGTAAACAACGTAGCACATCATGATAGACATGAGTCACATACAGAAACCGTCTGTATGGCCTGATCACCATACACGACTCTCTGAAGACACTTGGACGACATGAGAGACAATATTTGTTTTGCTGCTAATTCAATTTAAGTTTAATATTTCAACTTCAATTTTTATTTCAGTTCAATCTATGTTTTAGATTCTCATCCCACACAGCTTGTTGGCTGTTATTCCACTGTCAGCTTAATAATGAAAAACCTGCCAGCCTCATCAGCTGCTTCCAAATACTTTCATTTAAAAACTCATAAATTGGAGAATAAAATACAACTTCCCGTGAAATCTTCTCTTGACAGTTTAAAACTTCTTGTGCTCAGATTCCTCTGAGCTACTTAGTTACACATAAGTGATCCTGTAGACTTTGAAAAAAAAAAAACAAGACAGAAATATCCTACCTTTCCTTGGTATCACTATTGCAATCAAGGCAAGAACATAAATCCTCCGACTTTCCGTAGCTGGACAGCAAAATATTCCCACTGTTTGCATGTATAGAAAGGGAATCAAAATGTTCCGGGAAAACTGCGTTCTGCTGGAGAGGGCGTTTTTGTCGGGGTTATGGATCCAGTCAGGAAATGATGGGGGAGTTCAAGGATTCTCTTGCTAGAACTTTTATTGACAGTCCATTTGCATTTATGGCTTCCGTCAGATACAGTCCGACAACAGAACCATCAAACAGCTTCGTACAAAATGTTGTGAATTTGGGAACAATTGCTTAAATGTTACTTTGTGAGAATTGAATAAAATATTTCTTTTTGATGAAATGTGGATGTAAAGAATGACACCATTATTTGTTTTATAGGGTAATGTTCCACTGGTTGGTGTGGGAGTTTGGTTTTTGCATAAGTAAATGTTCACTTCCTGTTTCTCATCCACTCATAATCTAGTTAGATGACGAGTGGCAAAGTAATGGAGAAATATCTAACAACCACAGGAAGAATGACTACTGAGAAATTATTAATAATAATAATAATAATAATAATAATAATAATAATAATAATAATAATAATAATAATAATAATAATACTACCTGGGGTTATAATATTAATATTTTTAAATGAAGACATACTATCTAATATATATATATATATATATATATATATATATATATATATATATATATATATATATATATATATATATAATATGTATGTATATATACCAATATAGTTGATTTTTTAGGAACATAAATGTAATGTATTTCAATATGTCTAATGTGTAATTTGGTTTTGGAAAATTATGCAAAACACATTTGATCAGGCCCGGTTACCGTGGTGACTCAGCTAAATAAACAAGCTTATCTGTTTTGCTCAACAGCCTGGTTTTGTTTTAGTTATTTGCATCAAATTTAATAGAGCCATTTGAATAAAATAATAACCTGGGTGGATTCTAACCTCTCACAATATAAACTTCAAAGAAAAAAGTTGGGATTGATCAATACTTATGTGGAATTTCTAATTTTTTCCCTTGTGAAACAATTTAACCAACAGATTTTTTTTTTGTATTAATTTGTCCGTCTCAGTGTCTTTTTTAATATATGGCAGTAATAAAATAGGATATTGTGAAAAAATGTGAAGACTTTGTATGGAAAAGCATTATTTTAGACTTTAGTATTGTATTAAAATGATTATCAATAGTAATAGTTTCTTTTTTTGTTTTTGTGTCTTCTGTATTACACTGTATGTTGTTTAACAGTTTAAATCAGGCCTGTTTAGAACAAAGATCTGCGGTTTGTTTGTAAAAAAGGTTCAAACTAGGAGTAGAACTTTTAAATATTTGAAACTGTGGCATTTATCTTGCAAAAGAAGTGGGTACAGTTTGAGTTTACGCAAAAAAACAGAAAAACAACTTTCTAATTAAGTTTATTATTTTCACCCAATGATTGAGCCCTACTGACCCAGACTGAGAGATAAACTTTATTATTCCTGCAGGAAATTATTACACCAAATGTTTTAAGTTTATTAGATGAGTAGTAATATTTTTACATTTTTTCACAATTTTGTAAGGCAGTGACTTTTGGGGTTTCGTTCCCTGTAAGCGATAATTGTCAAGCAATGACAATAAAGAAAAGCTTGAAATGAATCAAGAAAAGATACGAGTTTCACTTCTGAGATGAGTGTTTTAGAATATTCTAATTTTCTGGACTGTACTTGGAGGTGAAGGAACTGCATGATGAGAATCAACAAATCAAAATCTGATGATTCACATAAACCTCAGTTTCTGCTTCATTTTGTCATTCACATCCTGCCAGCCAATCACAGCTGTGGTTCTGTTCACCCTGATTTAAAGGGCCATGGCATATAATGTGCATAAAATTCATGTTAAACATCCCCAGCTCTGGAAATGTTTTCTATATCTTAAATAAAAGACACAGATTGAGCCATTTTCCTCGTTAGACGCTGAAGGAACATAAAGTTACACATGTCGTTTCATAGATTACATTATTGAGCAGGAAGTTTTGTTTCTTTGTACAGAAAAAAAGAGTATTAATTCTCTTGACTACATTGAAGGCTGTAATGTTCCCATCTAATAAAGCTCTTTGGGTTTAACTTTGTCCTTGTTCACATCATCAGGTGGCCCTGAAGCTTTTGTTGTTTCTCTAAAGCTGTAGGGAACCAGGTGTGTGCAGGTGTGTGTGAGCAGAGTGTGATGCTGCGTTCGGGTGAAGTGTGAGTGTTAGGAGACTCAGGGAGCTCGGGGACTCCGCACCTTTAATTGATCCACCATGAGGCTTCGTTACACCCGAGCAGAGAAAGTACTGAGGAGGTCCATCATAATAAGGAGTTTTATTATTATTTATTATTATTCTGACTCTATGCGACTTTTTAGAGGCCTTAACATGTTCAAAACTCACCAAACTTCACCTAAAATTATCTCCCACGAGGAAAGTCTTGGCTCGCCTGATACTCCTTATGACTTTAATTATAAATGTATTATTATTATTATTATTATTATTATTATTATTATTATTATTATTATTATTATTATTATTATTATTATATAATTCTAGCACAGTCCAAACACTACAACTAATTAAAATGAAAATATTTCTTCTGTTTTGGATTTTTTTTTCGTTCCAGAGAAAAATATTTTTAATGACACAAAGACAACCTGAGTCACACAAAGTGGTGATCAACAGGTGACTAATCCATAAGTGTTGGATTGAGCTAAAGGAACACAGATCGTTTGAAGACAACAATTTGAATGTTCTGGAGTGGCCCAGTCAAAGCCCAGACCTCAGTATGATGGATAATCTGTGACTGGCAGTCAAAACGTTCATCTGCAAACCAAAGGAGCCCACTGGCTTAAAAAGAGACAATATATTACAATCACTTATTACATGTGTTATTATTTGTCATTTTTTTGTGGAAATCAATTTTTAGTTTTATTTAAAATAAATAAATGTAAAAAAATAACAGCCAAATTTTGTTTCTCACTGTTGATTTGTAAAAACAATAAAAAAAAAAAAACTACAGAAATATTGTATCAAGTAGCTTAAACCAAGCATGGTAGACCTGCTAATTTCAAAGTAGCATGTTGGTTTTGGTATTAAAAACAAAAATTGCAAAATGTTCTATAAATTAGCTGCAAACTATAAAGGAACATTCTAAATATTTTTAGAAAACCTCAACAGAGCTGCATGTTTCCACTGTAAGAATTGCTGTGCTATGGGAGGCATTACCAGTCAAATATTAACTATCACCTTAATATTTGTTAACAATAATAAAGACATGGTACAGCCTATAATGTGTGTTTAATTACACTTGATTTGAGTAGGTTTAGAAAAATCTAAGGGTCAGGTCAATATGACTGAAATACTTTGAATAGGCAGAAGTTGTTCTATGATGATTCTATCATAGCAGATTATCCATGATTATCCATGCTAGTCAGAATGTGGTTCCCTGCTTGTTATTGGTCGATCTTTGTGACTCCCACAGTGTAAGAGGCCAATGAGAAGATGATAAAGCTGCGTTCATGGAGGCTGGTGTTTCCAGAAGTCCTCAGGCTGTTGGAGCATCCAGAGGCTCACAGAGACACAGCCTGACTTTTATCTGCCTGGTAGTGAACTGAACCGATTCAGTGTCTGTACTGTTGTCTCTGTTTAATGTTAACTAAATCTGACTTGTTTTTGCTCATCATGGTCACAGTGGTCACTGTGAACGAGACTCTCTCTCCTTTCTGCTTTGAGGCGGATGCTTTCAGTTCCAAACTGCCTGCTTCCTACTCAGCTGGATGTGTGATCTTATACGGTTTCCTAGCGCTTCTGTCTCTCGTCACGGTGTGCGGAAACCTCCTAGTGATCATCTCTGTCATTTACTTCAAACAGCTTCACACTCCCACCAACACTCTGATTCTGTCTCTGGCCGTGGCCGACCTGCTGGTTGGGATGGTCATTTTTCCCCTCAGTTTGTGTTTCCCTCTCAGCTCATGCATGTACAACGTCAGTTTATTTTGCAAGATAAGAGACAGCTTCGACACGCTGCTCAGCATATGCTCCATTATGCAGCTGTGTTGCATTTCAGTGGACAGGTACTACGCCGTGTGCTGGCCTCTGACCTACAGGTCTAAAATCAACGGCCATGTTGTTGTCGTCATGATCTCTGTGAGCTGGAGCGTTTCTGTTCTGATCGCCGTTAGTGTGGTGACGACTAGATCAAACGACGATGAATGCAAGGACATGTGCTTCATGGATGTTGTCATGGGAAATTTTGTCGGGCCTATATTATCATTTTACCTTCCAGTGGTCATAATGCTTTGCATCTACCTGAAGATTTTCCTTGTCGCACAGAGACAGGCACGAAGCATCCAGAGCATAAAGTCTGGAGCAACTGCCAGTAAGATGGAGAGAAAAGCCACCAAAACTCTGGTTATTGTTCTGGGAGTTTTTCTGTTTTGTTGGTCACCTTTCTTCCTTTTCTTAACTTTTCAACCTTTAGGAAATAATCTGGCTCCCGTTCCTGTGATAGAAACTGTTACCTGGCTCGGACTGTCCAACTCCACCCTGAATCCACTCATCTACGCTTTCTTTTACCATTGGTTCAGGACAGCTTTTAAAATGATTGTTTCTGGAAAAATCTTAAAAGGAGATTTTGTTAACTTGAAGTTGCGATGATGATTTTCTTTCCCGTGTTTTCTCTATTTTATTTTTTTTAAGCAATAACTGATCTATAAAGTATATAAAACACTGAAAGCTTCTGCATTTGGGTGATTCCATTGATACAAGCATTATTAAACTTGTAAAATAAACTGATATTTGACTTTGTCAGATACTTCAAGGACACTCTAAATGCGAAATAAATTATTTTTTGTTTTACAGATTGTCTGCTTGTCTTTGTTTTCCACAGTAAAGTTTAAGTTTCAAACTAAATGTCTTGAATTTATTGATTTATGAAACTACAATAAATCTTGCCTTTGTTGAATAAAAAGTAGATTTTTGCACCATAATAGCAAAAAATTTGACATAATGTTGAAATAAGTTTCATCTTCTGTAATAAAAACAATGTCATGATTAATCTTGAGTCTCAGTTCTTGTACGTTAATTCAAAACATATTAGGTTTTTTAGCTTTTGCCTCTATAACTTAGGCTGATTCTTCTTTTAGTATTTGATGTAGAATCACAGTGGGTCCATGAGAGATTTTCTCATTGAACTTTGTTGGCACAAATAATAACTGGGGACTTTTATTTTTTATGAAAATGTCAATGTTCAATGAGTGATTGGTAGCTTAACATTCAACATGTCAGTTTAAATGTTTATTGAGATTTGGACATGGCTGCAGAAAGGTGATTAAAAAAAAAAGAATTTGAAAAAGGCCTGGGTCAGGGAACGTGGAGGACGTTCACCAAAAAACACAACCCTGGATCTGGTGGGTGAAGTAGATCTTCAAAGAAAGAAATGCAATATAAACAAAACCCCATTGCACGTGCATGACCTCAAGGCCATCCTGAAGTGGCACAAAGTTTATGCTTTGAGGCTTGAAGTTGCCAAATCAATGGTTCAGTCAATCAAAATACAGGAAGAATAAACTTGCTAGCTAACCTAACAGCAGTATATGTGATATAAGCTAAACATACAGTATGTTGAGAAAAATTAAATGACTTGCAAAAGATTAACAAATATCAAATGAAATTTTAGTGATGCCTGGTAAAGTAAATCCTATTTACATTTTCCTTTACATTGTGCAAAGGTCCTTTTACTCTGGATTCAATACAAACACTGAGTGTACTCATGACTCACTGACTCACTGAGTACATGGTACTACTGAAAACAATTTATACACGTTTGAGAAACAACTTAGTTGTAGTTCTGAACAACTCTGGTGGAATATCTCCATACCCTTTTCTGTTGCACTAAATAACAAACTTTACCAAATATTTCACCTACGCAAAGTAACTTCCTCAAAGTGTTGCACTCCGAACTGTTTTCAGTAACATTTATAGTTCCTGCAGTTATATCATGATAACACATTTCCGATATGCCTGCCTTCCAGGCTAGGGAAAGGTCCATATCTTGAAGGTCGTATTGTGTAAACCAGGGGTGTCAAACTCATTTTGGTTTAGGGGCCGCATACAGCTTAATCTGATCTGCA